AACGGTTCAATGGGTTTTTTTGCCCTAATTCAGCGCGGGGAGTGCACGTTCATGCAGAAAGTTTTCAATGTGCAAAATTCGCAATATATTGGAGCAATTGTTGTTAATGCAGATGACAGCATTTTTCCAATGGGCTCAACTGAAGGTACTTTTTTTAGTAATTGCTCTTCATATATCAGAATTCGATATTTTGATTCCTGCGATAATGGTGAGCAAAGGGTCGGGCGAAGAAATAATCCATTCTTACCTGTGGAATTATTCGTGAGTTACCATTATAATTTAATCAAATATTTGTCTGCTCCGTAATCCTCCTTTTCGCTCGATTGGGAATTCTATTTCGAAGTAGTTTTTAACCTCGCATGTCTTCTCTTAACTGCCATCTAATGTGTTTCAATTCTCACACAGAATCTGACTGTTATGTCGTCTTTTTAGACTAAATTTCCGAGAAACTATTACTATCGTTATCTATAACCGAGGTAGTATGCATTTTGAGGTACGTTCACGAAAATGCGCTTTGGAAGAATTTTCACGCTAGTTACACCAATCTGTCATCAGATGAAATGACTCGTGGGAGACAGAACTATCGCACAAAAACCTTTGGCGCACAGAGGTCACATTAGCAGGTAGACGCCTGGGATTGGGTGTGGACAGAGTGCTTCAATGAGTACTGCAGACGAGATGTAGGCCTACGAGCTTCTGTTATGCCTTACTGTTTCCGAGAGTTTAGAAATCAAGCAGATTGTATGTGGTCGGATACTAGTTGGCAGCCATTGCCGTAACCTAGGCGCACATAACTTCGTAGTGAGCATTCAATTTGATATGGCTGTTGATGCCGCTTGTGTTAGCATAAAAAGCCTCGAAAAGCCTCCTAACCTGTTGTTTGTTGTTAATGGTAACCCTCTTGCCCCCTCTCCAATTGAATCGGTGGTTTAACTCAGAGACTTGCGTAAATTTTGACGATAGGGAGTCACACCGGCAGTTAGCTAACGCTTATGTATTGTCATGCTAAGTCATTAC